AGCACCTCCTGCCTTGATAATAGATGCCCTGGATTTGCCCTGGCATTTATTTTCCATTAAGCGGCATGTATGCACCACCGGGGAGACGATTATGCCATGGCAGTGTGATTCTATTTCCCCGACGTTAGTGCTTCAATGCATATTTTAAACAAAATGAAAATTCACTTCTTAGCTCTCCCTGGAGAGCTAATGACCATATTCTTAATACCAAAAGTGTTCACTTTGGTACAAGAGAACCGGCTTTTTATTAAAGCCCCACAGCGGCAGGCGGGAGAATAATGGGTTTGTTTATTAAAGTCGGTATTAAAAAAAACCCCAAACCCCCAAAACTCTCCCCCAAAGAGAAGCCTTTCCTTTTTTGGGGGTGGTGGTTCTGCCAGTGCATATTCTGTTCCCTGAAATAGGGGTGTGGGAGATTTACATCCGCAAAGTATTTTTAAGGACAGAAGATGGAGAGATCAAAGCAGGAAGGCAGAGCTGAGTGCCTTGTGATGATGAAGGGCTGAGCATAGTTAATGATTACTTCTGTTACCATAGCATTTAGGGGCCCTCAGTCTCAAATGAGAAGCCCCTGTGTACAAATGCTTAGGAGTGGATTTCTTGGATTTTGGGGGGAGGTGCTGGGAGAAAACAGAAAAGGAATGAAATGAAATGGAAGAAAAATATCTGGAACCCTATCTTGGCTCTTTGAAAAAGTGCCGAAGGGGCACTGCCACCCAATTGAAAAGGTGAGTTCTGGGTGGCTGCCAAGGCCAGTAATATATGATTTTTTTTATTTTGAAATATTTTTGGAGTGTGTCAAGGGATTAAGGCCATAAAAACAGTGCCGGGGGGGGGGCTGCTTGTGGCCTCAGGCCATCCTCTGCCCTTACCTGATTTAGGTCTTCCACTCATCTAATTCTTAGATCAAGGGCTAAGGCACAAGAAGAATTACCCCTCCCTTCTAGGGTATGTTCACACAGTGAAATGGGATGGAAAGATGGGAGATGATGACATTAGTCCATGCTTTGGAGTGCTGCCCGGCTACACCACATCAGCCCAACCCTAGAGCTTTCCCACCGCCACCATTTTTTGACCCCTGTCAAGGGTCACTCTGGTTTGGATCTGTTCCAGTGCGTGTGATGGCTGGAAATGATCCAAAAATAAGCCTTCAGGTTTGAAATTTACCATATTGTGGCTTAATAAGCAAGCCATTTAAGGATGTGGGCCAATTAATCCCTTCCCTTGCTCAACGATCACTGATGCGCTACATCAGTCACATAAAACATGAAAACATATTTTCTTAAAAAGCCATGTAAGAAACTGCCCACAGTTGAATCTGCAGTGGTGGCAGGCAGTTTTTTGACCAGCCGTTTAAGAGAAGGCAAAGAAAATCCTTAAAAAAAGAAATATTTCTGCCTTTGCCATCATGATTCTAGTGCGCAAAGGAGAGTTGGAGAACTGCTGAGATTATGGGTCTGTAACACCAAGCCACAGAGACAACAGAGGGAGTTCTTTTTCCCAGGGAAGGTCAAGGTCAACCTCTCCAGATATTGTTGGGATGGAACCCCAAACCCGCTCTAGCCACCATGGATAGTAATGGGAGTTATAATCCAAAAATATCAAGCAGATCACAGTGTGGTGTAGTGGATAGAGTGATGGACTGGGATGCAGAAGATCTGGGTTTGTATCCCCACTCACCCACGGAAACGGACAAACTCTACGGCTTGGAAATGGGGATGAGCACCGCCCCCTAAAGTTGGACATGACTGGACTAAATCAGTGGTCCCCAAACTTTTTATCCCCGTGACCGGCTGGGGAAGGCGGGGCACCTCCTGCACTTGTGTGCATGTGCAAAGGAGTGGGGGTTGCTCATGTGGGTGCATGCACACTTGTGCGCATGCACAAAGGGCATTGTGGCATGAAGGGGGCATGCATGCGTGAAGGGGTGGGGGAGTGCTCATGTGGGTGCAGGCGCCTGCGTGCATGCACAAATGGATGGAGTGGGGGAGGGAGTGCGTGTGCTGGTGGGAGGTCTGTCCCCACGGCCCGGTCCAGTTCAGGCCATGGACCGACACCGGGCCACAGACTGGAGGTTGGGGACCTCTGAACTGTCAAGGGGAACCTTTACCTTTTAGGTTTGTCCTGACTTCACAGCACATAACACTCATTGCCACCCTCTCGTGATCATTAATTAATAATTAATTTAAAAACTGTTACCCCACTTTTCTCCTTAAAAGGACCCAAAGTGGCTTTCCCCAGGACTGTTGCTTCTTTAATTCAAGCTTTAAGGAACAGAGAGGCTGCTGGATTCGGGGACAAAACCATTTTTATCTTGTCAGGTTTCACCAAGGAGCAGGGATGAAATTGACGCAGCTCCACCCCAACCCCCTTTGACCTTGTCAGTTTCACTGGAGAAGGCCGAGGAAGGGTAGGGAAGAAAACAATGCAGATGACCAGTGGGGATGGGAGCGATCTTGCCTTCACCAACAGGGCCGTATAGCAGTCTAATGACAGGGCAAATTTAGGGCCAGCAACAGCCAGGATGGGGACACTAAGCTGCCGTTTTCTTCAAGAATAGGTGCAAGATGTACAGGGCCAGTCCAAGACACTGGGGAGTTTTCTTGAGGCAGGGAAGCAAATGGTCCCCGCCCACCCCATCACCCAAGCAAAGGGCATAATCATCAGAGCCTGTCAGATTATTCTTTGCTGCACCAGGCAGAGAAATCCCAAAAGGACCTCTGTTGTGGCTTGGCAGTAACAATGTGAAACAACAAATGAAATACCATATTTTTTCCATTGTATAAGACTATACTTTTGTCTAAAATCTTTAGACTAAAAATTGAGGGTCATTTTATACATGGACGTAAGCTGAGGAGAGAACAAAAACAAGTGGAGGGGAAAGCAGGGATCAAAGTGATCCTGCAGCGCTTTGATCCCTTTCCCCCTGCACTTGCTAAACCCCACTTAGATTTCTTAATTTCGGAGTAGAAAAGTGGGGGGCGTTTTATACATGGGGGGGTGACTAATTACACGGAAAAATACGGCATGCAGTAATTTGCTGCCCTTTTCATGGCATGCCAAGACTGCTTACTCACTCCGCCCAATAATAGGGCTGGCCTTGGAGTAGTGACATTTGAAGTGGGAGAAAAGAGATGGTGGGGATGGTGGCCATGTGCTTTAGAGAGAGAGAGAGAGAGAGAGAGATTGGCGGGAAAGGGTGAAGTTGCCCAGAGGCTGGTTGAAGTGCTTGGAAAAAAAATATGGAGTGATGCGTTCAGCCTGTGTTCTTTTGATTGTGTGCCTCTGTTCCTTCAGGCAAAAAGAGAGAGAGAAATCTGCAATATTAACTTTAACCGTGGGCAGCAGCAGCAGCTGCTGGAGGGCCAGGCTGGGGGTGCTGCTGGCGGGCCAGATGCGGTCCCTCCTCTTCCTCCCCTCCGCTCGCTCGGTCGGTGCCCAGTTTTGACCCGATCTTAGACAAAAGGAGACAAGTACAGGGGCAGAAACTTCTGCAGCATGAGTAAGGGGGGGATCAGGTTGCGCTCTCGCTCCGGCGCCCACGTGACTCCCTGGAATCTCTGCCAGCTCAACAGCCCCTGACAGCCAGATGATTGATTTGGCAACAGCCTCATCCCTTTGCAGAGAGTCAAGCTGCATCTTCACACACACACACACACAGAGAGAGAGAGAGAGAGAGCGAGAGCACCTCCTTTAAAAGAATAAATAAAAGCAGAAGGAGAGCTTCTCCGCGCTAGAAGGACAGTCTTGGGAGTCTTTTTCTTTCGCACTGAAGATTTCGGGTGTCTCTTCTCGCCTATAAACGGCAGGCTTGTAATTCTTCTCTCTCCTCCCAGGACGTATTGCGGAGGGC